TTCCCAGGCTGCCTCGACCAAGGCCCGCACCGCCAGGGCTCGCCTACTCTCTCAACACTCAGCATCCTCTTCCTCCACTGTCTCTACTCACAGGGTTTCTCCCGCCGGACTCAAGGTCATAGAAAAGTTCCATCTGCAAGATCTCTTGAAGAAGCAAGAGGAACGTGCCAAGATTGAGGCCGTGAAACTCAGAAAATCAAAGGGGTTGAGAAAGGTAAATATATACTTTTTATCGTTTTATAAATTATCAAAAATGTAAAGTATTTAACGTGAATCTTAATCTTGTGTTAACTGCATAACCAGTGGTTGTTCTACATTAATGTTGGGATACATAACCAGTGGTTGTTCTACATTAATGTTGGGATACATAACCAGTGGTTGTTCTACATTAATGTTGGGATATATAACCAGTGGTTGTTCTACATTAATGTTGGGATACATAACCAGTGGTTGTCCTACATTAATGTTGGGATATATAACCAGTGGTTGTCCTACATTAATGTTGGGATATATAACCAGTGGTTGTTCTACATTAATGTTGGGATACATAACCAGTGGTTGTCCTACATTAATGTTGGGATATATAACCAGTGGTTGTCCTACATTAATGTTGGGATACATAACCAGTGGTTGTTCTACATTAATGTTGGGATATATAACCAGTGGTTGTTCTACATTAATGTTGGGATACATAACCAGTGGTTGTTCAACATTAATGTTGGGATACATAACCAGTGGTTGTTCTACATTAATGTTGGGATACATAACCAGTGGTTGTTCTACATTAATGTTGGGATATATAACCAGTGGTTGTTCTACATTAATGTTGGGATATATAACCAGTGGTTGTTCTACATTAATGTTGGGATACATAACCAGTGGTTGTTCTACATTAATGTTGGGATACATAACCAGTGGTTGTTCTACATTAATGTTGGGATACATAACCAGTGGTTGTTCTACATTAATGTTGGGATACATAACCAGTGGTTGTTCTACATTAATGTTGGGATATATAACCGGTGGTTGTTCTACATTAATGTTGGGATACATTACACTTATTTTGGTAACCTTTGTAAGCTTCTTTTAGAAATAAAAAGTTCTATTCCAAGTTCAATTTCATTTTCAGTAGTTGTGTCCTTAACTCATGATCACCGATTTGTGTGTGTGTGTGTGTGTGTGTGTGTGTGTGTGTGTGTGTGTGTTTGTGTGTGTGTGTGTGTGTGTACTCACCTATTTGTGGCTGCAGGGGTCGAGTCTTAGCTCCTGGCCCTGCCTCTTCACCGGTTGCTACTGGGCCCTTTCTCTCCCCGCTCCATGAGCTTTATCAAACCTCGTCTTAAAACTGTGTATGGTTCCTGCCTCCACTACGTCACTTTTTAGGTTATTCCACTGCCTGACAACTGAAGAAATACTCCCTTGCGTGTGTGTGTCTGTGTGTGTGTGTGTGTGTGTGTGTGTGTGTGTGTGTGTGTGTGTGTGTGTGTGTGTGTGTGTGTGTGTGTGTGTGTGTGTGTGCAATGTTACCAACATTACCTTTCTTTATATATTTTTTTTATTTACTTGGTCTAGTAAATATGCAGTCATTGCTTGAAAAAAATAGGTACATCATTAATGGCTACTGAAATTTTATTTCTTCTGACAAAAAAAGGAAAAAAAAAATTCCACAACCACTCTCAGGCGCTATATGATTCCTAGAGTTTAGAGCTTCCTCTGATAATAATAATAATGGTCCGAAAGGTGTGCATCTCGGTGTATATACTCCGAGAAGTGTATTAATTTTTCACTAGTTACACTGAGAGATGTGTGTGTATATATCTCAGTGTAGATACACCGAGAGGTGTGTATTTATTCTCAGTGTAATACACTGACAAGTGTGTAATTTTTCTCAGTGAAGATACACCGACATGTGTATATTTATTTCCTTTTGTAGATACACCAAGATGTGTGTAACTTAAAGGTGTGTACCTGTCATTATACATACACCAAGAAGTGTCACTCAGGAAAATATACACTGAGTTTACTTTGTCACCTTCGTTATGGATATAATAATTCAAGTCAGGCGGTGTAGAGGTAAATGGCAACAGTTAATAAATAATCGATAGCTCTTAAACTTAGTGAAGTAATTAATTAGTGCTGTGTTGTGTGGCGCAGGTTGTGAGGAAGGTACAGCTTCCAGTAAAGTACAGGGAAGCTACTGAATTATGTGGCTTAGAGGAACAGTTGGAGAGACAGCGGCAAGCTCGCCTCCGTCAGCCCACACCCTCTCAAGACGACCTTAAGAGGTACAGCAAATATCATCTCTCCCAGAATTATGTCATTTGTCGTTTTTAAAGGGATGGGTCTCATATCAGAGGAATGCTTTGGTTATATGACAAAAAATTCCACTGGTGGGTCATTGTATGACTAGGGCCAGCGTCAGGAGACATTTGTCCTGATACCTGAAGAATCCTGCCTGACCTTACATAAGGTGAACCTCTTCTCACCCTTCTTCCTCACTTCCACTTAATAAATAACCTAATACCACAAGTCTCCTTATATGCTCATTCTTGTGACTTTTATTCTTTTAAGGTCAATTTAATGTGCCAAGATTCCTGTTTGGTCTTTCCTTATCAACCTCTTCCATATTATCGTAATAATCACACATTTCTATGTTTTCATTATACCGTCTCTTTTAAAACTCATACATTCCAAAATTTAAGCAGAGTTTCTTTTCTAAGATAAAAGATTTCATTATCTTTTAATGATCCTGTTTCACAATTATCAATTGCGCTTTTCCACTGCCATTTGCATTTTTGATCTATTTATTGTTCACGGACATTGGATCACTTTGGCTATAATTATGTTCTGATAAAACGGCATTCTGTATTCAAGAGTATTCATACTGCTACCTTTTAATATGGTAATGAACAAAAAGGCACAATACCGTGACTGGAACAATACAGAAATAACCCGGATAATAGAGAGAGAGAGAGAGAAGCTTACGACGACGTTTCGGTCCGACTTGGACCATTTACAAGGAATCGTAAGTTTCAGTCTCCTCTGTGAGGATTATATGTGTATTTTTATATGGTATTGCCTATTAATGTGCACACACAGGATATATATTTAATTACTTGCACATACATGATGTGTACTACCTTACTTGCAGAGGAGCACAGTACATGTGTACTTGCAGAGGAGCACAGTACATGTGTACTTGCAGAGGAGCACAGTACATGTGTACTTCCTTATTTATAGACGAGTACACTAGGGAAATATATCAATTCCCAATTTATATTCCTTTCTTATATTTTTTTTTAACTTGTAAAATGTTATCTTGTTGCGCTGTGCAACATTTTATAACAGGAACACGTTGCATCATTCTGTTGCATTAACCTTCCAGACTTGACAATACATTATGGTCATTCATGGTCATGCAGATTAATTTCTCGCTCTAAATATTTTCATATATAATTAGTTTACATTTAGACAATTTGGAAGACTGACCGAAACTCAGTCGAAAGATTCTTCTCCGAATCGTGGGTTTAGTTGCGAATTGCTTCAGCTACGATATTGTGGGTTGTGAACTGTTTCAGTCGTGGTATTGTGCGTTGTGAATAGTTTTAGTTATGATATTGTGGGTACTGAATTGTTCTAGTCATGGTATCGTAAATTAGATTAAGTTCCTTTTCTTTGTCACATTTCTTTTTTTCGTATAGTTGTTTTTCAATCTACCCACACAATCCAACCTTCCTGCTTTATACCTTAGGTCAAATTCGTTATTGGACCATTTTTGTTAATGTATTCGTATAGATTCTCATCGTCTTTGTTGATTCTTCATATTTTTCCCTCTTCCCCGGCCTTCTACTATGTACTTTACGTATTCGTCCAAACTGTTAAGGATTATTTTGAAAATTGGTGATTTTTAGATAACATTGTCACTTATATTTTGAGATCAAAACTGCTGTTCTTATGATTAAATTTAGAATGAATCATGCTATGTGAAGAACACCATTTTTTTTATATGTATTTTTCATTTATATATAAAAGTGTAATAGACACTGGTTTATGGCACAAACGAATGCACACGGAGATACGAAAACAGAAGTACTGCATATTTCGGCCTCATACTGAAGCCCTCTTCAGCAAAGCGCTGAAGAGCTCCCTAATTTCACGTGTTGATTAATGAACTTCGAGTTTCAAATGAGTTGTTTTTTCCATGACCCGGGTGTAGGTTCAACCAGTACCTGAGCGAGGGGATCTCTGACCACCAGGTCACCGCCCCACCACCCAACCTGCTGAAGGTGGTAACTCTCGACGTAGACAAGATGGTTCTTCGCAACATCAGGTAACACAACTTCTTGTAACGCAATTTTGCTCCAGGTAAAACGTTACTTGTAATACTCTGTGCTTCAAGCAACACTCCTTTCAATATTCCATACTAAAAATAATTCTTAACAGCTAATTGTAGCTGGATGGTCGAGCGCTCGGGTTACAACTGAAGAAACCTGGGATTGATTCCAGAGCAGGAAGAGAAGTATAGTTATATCTCCTTACATCTACTGTCCCTGAGTGCTTGCCATCTAAAACTGATCGTCTCTGTTAGCAGTTACTTAAATTTAAATACATAAAATAGCCACACCAGTCGGAAAGACAAATGAAAAATAAACGACAATAGTAAATTCTCTTATTCATAGAACGTGTTCAGCGTGTCCGCCATTATTACTGATACTCGATTGTTTTCATCGTTTTCATCATTTCTGTATTGCAGTTTAAGTCTCTTAAAACACAGTCAGCTGTATCACAGTATTATATTATTCCATCAGTGAATTTACAGCCTAAGGACTGTTAATGTACCAGTGTGCATATCGAAGCCCAGGTCAGTATAATAGCACTCCCTCGGGACGCCACCCACAATATTCACTTAATACCCAGGTACGCACTGCTAGGTGAACAGGGGCAGTAGGTGCACGGAAGCATGCCCAACTAATTCAGTTCGCTCCGGGATCAAACTCGGTTATCTCGGTTGTTAGCCGAAGGCTACCAATGAGCCAAGAGGCACAGAATACAAACCATATCGATGTTATGTAACACTGTTATGTATCAGTGTTGTGTAGCAGTGTTATGTTGTTTTCATTACTGGAGTTGTTTTATATGCGCAGGTTCCGACTAGTTGTGAGTGAGCTGGTGGAGGAGCTACGTCAGTGCTACCTGGTAGGTGTGAGAATAGCAGTGCTGAGGTACGCCCTGCTGTGTCCCGTCGTCAGGGCCAGGTAAGACGCTCTCAAGTGCACTCTAGTGTGGTTACTGTTGTGTCTGGAAGTGTAGGGTGCACTCTGGAATGTGGTTACTCTTGTGTGCGGCAGTATAGGGTGCAATCTGGAGTGTGGTTACTGCTGCAACTGACAGTGTAGGGTACACTGTTACTGTTGCGTTTTGACTATGCAAGTTGCACTCTGGAATGGTCTGCCTGTGAAATTTGCACTTCGAAGCATTGTCTGTGCTTGTAAGTTGCACTCTGGGGTGTTCTGACAAACATCAGTCTGTGAGCTCTTTAAGTGTTTGTTTATATGCGCGTCACAGGAGATGATAGAGGAGATTATTTTCAGGGATGAATGTATGTATATGCATATAATTGTGGAATTGAACAAATTACATGGTAGAAGTCATGGAATGAAAGTGGCGGACAGACTACCATCTTTACTGGAGGTTTTATTGCCGAGAAACTGAACCATGTACGCTAGTGTACACCATATACTCCAGTGTACACCATATACTCCAGTGTACACCATATACTCCAGTGTACACCATATACTCCAGTGTACACCATATACTCCAGTGTACACTACGTAATCCCATATCTTGATGAACAAGACACATGTGCGGCACTTGAGTACTCCCATATCTTTCCATCTTCTCCCACATACTCCCTATGCTCCTAATGTATGCCATGTATTCCCTACTAACTGTATGTACCCGCATGTCCTATGTACTCTAGTGTCCTATGTACTCCCATGTCCTATGTAGTCCCATGTACCCCATGTCCTATGTACTCCCATGTGCTTCTATGTACTCCCATGTGCTTCTATGTGCTCCCATGTGTTTCTGTGTACTTCCATGCCCATCTATGTACTCCCATGTACCACTACAGGCTTGGCATCAAGGTGGCTCCAGTCAGCCACGAGGCACTGGTGGTGCGAGCTCCTGTCCCCTGGCACCACAGCTTCCTTACTGGCACCCACCACTGCCACCACAACCTATTCGCTCTCAACCACCTCCTCAACACCCTCGACACCATCTGGGAGGATAGGTGAGTAGCACCACCTGGAAGGAGAGGTGAGTAGCACCACCTGGAAAAAGAGGGGAGTAACACCATCTGGAAGGAGAGGTGAGTAACACCATCTGGAAGGAGAGGTGAGTAACACCATCTGGAAGGAGAGGTGAGTAACACCATCTGGAAGGAGAGGTGAGTAGCACTACCAGGAAGGAGAGGTAAATAGTTAGGTTAGGTAAGGTTCGTCCATACCATCTGGGAGGGGAAGAGGTAAAAGTCTTGCTGCAATAGCAGAATTTCTCTCTAACGATTAGTAAACGGAGCATCGAACCTTCAATACTATTTGCGGTTAATGACCCACAAAGGTTTAGAGCTTCACGTGAATTTAATAATAATAATAATAATAATAATAATAATAATAAAGCATACTTTTACAACTATTACAGTACCGTTACCGTAGTAGATGCATTTGTGAAGAGTTTCGGGGAAGCTAGTTAGCTGGACTTGAGTCCTGGAGGTGGGAAGTACGGTGCCTACACTTTTAGGAAGGGGTGGGTAATGTTGCAGTTCGGAAGGCCATTTAAATTGTGATGCTTGCACACTTTTGGCAAGGTAGCTATTAAAAGAATGATGGAGAATGAATTTCCTTATTTTTTTGGGAGGGGGGTCACTCTGCCTTAGTGGGAGACGGCTATGACGGTGAAAAAAATATTGTTTAATATTACTGTACTCACGAGGGGGCGCTAAACCCGAAGGAGTCATACAGAGCCTGAGGGACTATGAGATAATAATGTTCAAGCCAAGAAAAGAGGAGGGTAGCTGCAATTACTTGGATCAAGAGCCTTCACCACCATCTAAGCACCCCTCCTGAAGGGAGACATGGAGAACACATGCGGTGTGGATCTGAGAATTCAGTTCTGAGTGTACTGGTGAGCTCTGGTTACGTCAAGGTCAGGAAGGAGGCGAATGAACTGACTGGTGCGATGATGATGTAAGAATGATACTGTATGAAATACAGTTGATATGTCAAAGAGATACAGTAAATGATGAGGAAAAATAATGGTGAAGGAGTACCAGAAAATGTGCTAGGTATCTTTAACAGTTTTATTGAGAAGGAGACGGTTTAAGGGAGAGATAAAGAAGGGAGAAAACCAAAAGAAAAAAAATGAGATGTAGGTGAAAATAGTAAGATGTTGGATAGTGGTGGAGAGGTGTTAGAGAGATGGAAGCAGTATTTAAGAAATTTGTATAAGGAGACAATTAGTTTCTGTCTCAGTGTGGTTAGACAAAGAAAAAGGAAAAAGAAATAGTAGACATATGAATGTTAAAAAATAATTTCTGTTATTCGTGAACTTATTTATTGTTCCATTTATATATTAATCTAAGTGTGAGTAGTTTTAATATTTATGGAGTTACCGTAAGAAACGTATTTCACTGTTGTTTTAGCCTAACAGCTTAATCAATACGGTTAAGATACTTCTGTATTATTAAGTATTATTGTCTCTAAGGCGTCACTAGCGTCGTATACGCTACATGGCTTGAATAATGGGGTTTTATACCCAGCGACTACACAAGGGTCATTAAGGATGCGTGTAACCTTTTTCATTATCATACTACAATACTTTAACCCTTAAAATAGGAATTAAAGCAAACTCTCAGTATATATATATATATGCAAAACAACCACTCTGAAAGAATAGAGAAATTCCAAGCGCTTTCGTGACTACTCACATTATCAAGGAACTATGAAAGTAAAGCATCCAAGGAAGGTATATAAGGGGTCTGGCCAACACCTCACTATCAGATCCCACAACGGTTAAACACTTGACGCGTGCCGGCCCAACTGGACAGGTCCTTTGCACAACCCACCAACAAACTATTCTACCCAAGAAAATTTTAAAAATTATTATTTGTCCAGTGTATTATTAAAGTCTTCCCAAATTCTATTAATTATAAATGGATCTAATTTATATAAACCAAAGGAAATATTCATATTATTGTCAAAACTGCTTTTTATGAAACAAGATTCAATAATATTCCTGTCGACCATGGACTTGCTTGATACTGCTTTCTCAACTTTTTGAAAATCAATTGGATGGTTAAAATCTCTTACATGAATAAATAGAGCATTGGAATCTTGTCCAGTTCTAATGCTATATTTATGTTGTTTTAATCTTAGTTCGAGATTTTTACCAGTTTGACCGTAATTTGCGATAAAGTTTATTACGGTCAAACTGGTAAAAATCTCGAACTAAGATTAAAACAACATAAATATAGCATTAGAACTGGACAAGATTCCAATGCTCTATTTATTCATGTAAGAGATTTTAACCATCCAATTGATTTTCAAAAAGTTGAGAAAGCAGTATCAAGCAAGTCCATGGTCGACAAGAATATTATTGAATCTTGTTTCATAAAAAGCAGTTTTGACAATAATATGAATATTTCCTTTGGTTTATATAAATTAGATCCATTTATAATTAATAGAATTTGGGAAGACTTTAATAATACACTGGACAAATAATAATTTTTAAAATTTTCTTGGGTAGAATAGTTTGTTGCTGGGTTGTGCAAAGGACCTGTTCAGTTGGGCCGGCGCGCGTCAGGTGTTTAACCGTTGTGGGATCTGATAGTGAGGTGTTGACCAGACCCCTTATATAGCTTCCTTGGATGCTTTACTTTCATAGTTCCTTGATAATGAGTAGTCACGAAAGCGCTTGGAATTTCTCTATTCTTTCAGAGTGGTTGTTTTACATATTCTGAAATCACCTGTTTACTGTGATCTTATTGCATATATAAATATATATATATATATATATATATTAATATATATAAATATATATATATATATATATATATATATAATAATAATAATAATAATAATATCTACATAATATCTATTATATTCTATTGTATTATTGTGTTATCCTACGTTAAAGACAAATAATGTAACGTTTATATGCTCATAACATCTGTGCCTTCAAGATCACTGAAAATATCTTTTTTTTTTTTAAGATTTTCTTAGCATATGTAGGATATTTATTTTTTTTCCTCCAATTAACATATTTCTAGTTAAAATAAAAACCTTAATTGAGAGTAATAGTCCCTAATCTTATAAATTTTAATGAAATTTTCGTACATGTATATAAAGGCATCATTCATTTATAAAAACATCGATGAACAGAAACGTACAGTCAGCCTTCGTGGACAAAACGTTGCTACTTTTTTTGCATGTAATGATTTCAACATTAACTCACTCTCACTCTCACTCTCTCTCTCTCTCTCTCTCTCTCTCTCTCTCTCTCTCTCTCTCTCTCTCTCTCTCTCTCTCTCTCTCTCTCTCTCTCTCTCTCTCAAATTTGAAGCTCAATATCTTGTTCTTGGTGGGTTAGGTTCGCCAAGCTGCGGTTCGTCGACATGGTGGCGCTGACCGGGGCTGACGAACACAAGGCGCCCACACCAGAGGTTCTGGAGAAGGCTATCAGAGCTCAGTGTGCTGACACCAGAACCGTTCTCCTGCACAAGTAAGGAGCAGCAGAAAAACTGGGAGTGTAATGCAACAGTCATGGTACAAGACAAGAGACTAACTGCTTTAATAATATCATATTAGCATATAATTCCCATAAATTGTTGTTGTTATTAGTTTAGTCGTCATAAAAAAAATCCCTTGATGGTGGATTTGATCACTCAGTGACCATTTGTTGGTTCACTATGAGCTTCTTGGAGATTTTAGTTATATTTTCATATAAATTCTGAAAATGTTTGGTAGTTGTAGTCTTGATATCACATGGACTTTTCAAACAGATTTACAGTTAAAATATTTGCTTTCACACATATCTGAAGATGTGTGTAAGCACAAGAAAGCGCTCAGGTTTCATTTCGAATTTTCACTGTAGTATTTTTTTCATATTTGCAGTCATGCGTTTGATTGTGGTTTCTCCTAAATTTACTAGATGTGGTACAGCCTTTGACTATCATAAGTAAGCTTTCCCCTTTTGGCATAGTATCCCGTGTTACTCTTGTATCAGGTGGCTGCCGGCTGTATCTCGCGTGTTTGGGGAACAAGTGGAATCCTGGAGGTCACTCGTTCCCACCGACGTCGATGACAGCCTTCGCCAGGTGCGACGATTCTTTAGCGCCGTCAGATCTAGGATGTCGCTTCAGCTACGACGTCTTGTCCTTGACTCCATCAGCGACTTCCGTGACTGCCTTGTGAAGCACAAGGTTGTTCAAGCCACTTTTACTTCCAAACAACTTTCATACACTTGAATAACCAAGAGAAATAATAATAACCATAAACAAAAGCACCCATTGATATTCCTTAATAATAAAGAGAGACCTTAATGTTTACCACTTTTTGTTTCTTTGTAATATTGAATATTATTACAAATAACTCGCACTTAAGACAGGGAACTTACGATGACGTTTCGGAAGGACAGAATGGATGAGGCTCGAGCTATAGCAAGTGAGTCTTATTTCCGCCGGCCAGTAAATAGTACACTTGCTTGTCACTTTCAAGAGTCGCTTGCCATGCGTTCGAGAATCATATGTTCTGTGATTTCTTTGCAGCCATGTTATTACGATTTCCTGAGTCATAGCAACGACATTTCGGCCTGTCCTGAACCATCGTTAAGTCACAACTGAACGAAAGGCGAATTCTCCTTTATCTTATTTGCATTTCTTGATCCTCCTCGCTTTTATATAAACTAATTCTTTATTCCTTTCAAGGTAGCTTTTATTGTAAAACTTTTGGTGTTGCTTTGGTTTCTCTTGTGTCCCCTATCCTTGCTTATCTTAATATGAAGTATTTCGAAATTGATCTACTTCCTACTGTTAGAGTTCGTATTTTTCGTTGTCTTGGCTGTGTAGATGATGTCCTTGTTCTTTGGCCACATGACTCTAGTCTCTTCCAATCTTTTCTCGATTCTCTTTACATTCTTGCTCCTCCTGTCCTGCTCAAAACTGAATGGAAATCTAACTAACTGTTTTCTTTCCATGATGTTCATATCCACCTCTTTGTGACGGGCTTTTCATTTTCCGTTTACTACCAGCCAGTGCACAGTGGCTTGTATGTTCATTACAGGTATTACAGCTCTTACCATGCTCCTTCTGTCCAGAATAGTGTTCTTGTTGCTTTCTCTGTGCCCATCTGCTACACTCAATTTTTCGGTTCTGAAATTTACTCTCTACGTAGTTCATTCTCTCATCTTGGCTCTTCTGCTGATTTCATAAACACAAATGGACTTTGAAATAAGCAAGAGCAGCCAAGAATAACCAGAGCCTTTGAATTTTTCTAGGGTACCTAAATTTTAATTATAATTACAGTTTGATATGTATTGTTACTTTAGTGTTTAAAAAAAATTGTTGCAAAATAAAATATTAACTAATCTTCGTAGCGTAAATGGAAAAAAATAGATCAGCTAAATCTCTTATTGTGACTATTTTGATACATCAGCAAATTAAAGAAGCAACTGGAGTGAGAGAAGGCAATGCTTTTTCAGTAGATGAATAAGAGAAATTTGCAAAACTTGTGTATCTTTGTTATGAAGATGTTTCACCAACCAGTGGCTTTATCAGTCTAATACAGAGAATTATGCTGGCGACGATGGAAGACATGAAGAAATTTAGCTTGAGGTGATCAGTCCCTCAGCTCTGATACGGGTTCAGCCCAACAGTTTTGATTCCACCAAAACTAGACTTTGTGCTTACTAGAACTGATTCACTCCTCAGTGTAAATGATATAAAACCACTTGATAAAAATATTTACTTATAAAGGAAATAATGTAGGTTCCAAGCCATTATATTGTAGAGGGAAAAAATACCGACAATATGTTAGGTAACAGGACACAAGTGGAACTAATGTGAAACGTTGTTACAATACAAATACCACATTAGTTGCGCTTGTGTCTTTTTTTACTTAACAAATAATATATTGCAAAGAATCAGTATAAGGAAAATAAACATTGAGTTTTACACCATTAAGAATATGTCGCTAATTCATTTCAAAGAAATTAAAATAAATAACGAGATAATAAATGAAGGTTCAACAATAGGCTCTGAAAAGCCACGAGAAAATGGAATCAATACATAATCAACTGAACCTACATATTTACCAGATATTCAACAGTAAAAATAAGTATATAAATATTAAGAGGGAAGCAAAAGGCGGTGGTGAAGAAGTAACAGACAAGAATAAGTATGACTATCATATTTAAAAAGCAAATTTACTGGGAAGGGCAAAAGAAATTGGTGACCTGGAGAAAGAAATGTGTTAGACATGTCATATAAAGTACCAGAGAGACTGTATTTACAAAAGATGCCTTCAACGATGTGCTCTTGAATCCCCAACAAGACATAAAGTAATTGCTGTTGAGTAGAGAGGGAAATAAAACAGGAGGGCCAGATGAGGTATCCCTTTGGGGTTTTGAAAGTATGTGCAGAAGAACTAAGTAGTCTACTCCAGAAAATGTTCGAGCCTTCATTATTAAAAGAAAGTAAATCTGCAAATAATGGAAAAACTAAACATCACGACGTTTAGGATCGCTCTTTTGATTATAAACCAGTCTGACTAACAGAATTTATAAGAGCTCATCAAAAATAATTATAGAAAAACGAATAAAATGCTGGGAGTAAAAAAAATTACTACGTAGCTATTAAACAGTTGAAAATAAACTTAGAAAATTACACAGGAAATCAGATTGTATTTCCTGGTGCTGAATGATCCACATGGGCTTAACACTTTTTTGTGTATGTAACAAACGAATTTCGAACAAAGTTTTTTTCTGGTTTGGGATCTTGTTTGTTGCTAACTTAACATATTCGTTGAAGCCCATGAGTAGTTTTTCATACACTTGATAACTTACTGAAATTATGTATATACTGTATATTTTTTGTAAGTAACAGAAATGAATTGTTTAGAGCAGCATCCAATTAAACGTGTAGTTATTTAAGTTTTATTTTATTTATTTATTTATTTATAGTAGTAGGTTGGTAGACAGCAACCATCCAGGGAGGTACTACCGTCCTGCCAAGTGAGTGTAAAGCGAAAACCTGTAATTGTTTTACATGATGGTAGGATTGCTGGTGTCTTTTGTCTGTCTCATAAATATGCAAGATTACAGGTATGTCTTGCTACTTTTACTTACACTTAGGTCACACTACACATACATGTACACGTTTATTTATACACACTCATCTGAGTTTTCTTTGATTTTATCTTAATAGAATCTTTCCTCCGTAAGCCATGCGTGTTGTAAAAGTCAACTAAAATGCCGGGAACAAAGGGGTAGTAACCCCTTTTCCTGTAAAGATTACTAAAAAGAATAAGAAGAAGAAAATTGTCAAAGTGGGAAGTCTGAATGTGCGTGGATGTTGTGCAAATGATAAGAATGAGATGATTGTGGATGTTATGAATGAGAAGAAACTGGATGTCCTGGCTTTAAGTGAAACAAAGCTGAAGGGGGTGGGAGAGTTTCAATGGAGAGGAATAAATGGGATTAGGTCAGGGGTTTCAAATAGAGTTAGAGCTAAAGAAGGAGTAGCAATAATGTTGAAGGATAAGCTATGGCAGGAAAAGAGGGACTACAAATGTATAAATTCAAGGATTATGTGGAGTAAAATAAAGATTGGATGTGAAAAGTGGGTTATAGTAAGCGTGTATGCACCTGGAGAAGAGAGCAGTGTAGAGGAGAGAGAGAGAGATTCTGGGAAATGTTGAGTGAATGCGTGGGGAGTTTTGAATCAAGTGTGAGAGTAATGGTGGTTGGGGATTTCAATGCTAAAGTGGGTAAAAATGTTATAGAGGGAGTAGTAGGTAAATTTGGGGTGCCAGGGGTAAATGTAAATGGGGAGCCTTTAATTGAGCTATGTGTAGAAAGAAATTTGGTAATAAGTAATACATATTTTATGAAAAAGAGGATAAATAAATATACAAGGTATGATGTAGCACGTAATGAAAGTAGTTTGTTAGATTATGTATTAGTGGATAAAAGGTTGATGGGTAGGCTCCAGGATGTACATGTTTATAGAGGGGCAACTGATATATCGGATCATTATTTAGTTGTAGCTACAGTTAGAGTAAGAGGTAGATGGGAAAAGAGGAAGGTGGCAACAACAAGTAAGAGGGAGGTGAAAGTGTATAAACTAAGGGAGGAGGAAGTTCGGGCGAGATATAAGAGACTATTGGCAGAAAGGTGGGCTAGTGCAAAGATGAGTAGTGGGGGGGGGGGTTGAAGAGGGTTGGAATAGTTTTAAAAATGCAGTATTAGAATGTGGGGCAGAAGTTTGTGGTTATAGGAGGGTGGGGGCAGGAGGAAAGAGGAGTGATTGGTGGAATGATGAAGTAAAGGGTGTGATAAAAGAGAAAAAGGTAGCTTACGAGAGGTTTTTACAAAGCAGAAGTGTTATAAGAAGAGCAGAGTATATGGAGAGTAAAAGAAAGGTGAAGAGAGTGGTGAGAGAGTGCAAAAGGAGAGCAGATGAAAGAGTGGGAGAGGCAATGTCAAGAAATTTTAATGAAAATAAGAAAAAATTTTGGAGTGAGTTAAACAAGTTAAGAAAGCCTAGGGAAAGTATGGATTTGTCAGTTAAAAACAGAGTAGGGGAGTTAGTAGATGGGGAGAGGGAGGTATTAGGTAGATGGCGAGAATATTTTGAGGAACTTTTAAATGTTAAGGAAGAAAGGGAGGCGGTAATTTCATGCACTGGCCAGGGAGGTATACCATCTTTTAGGAGTGAAGAAGAGCAGAATGTAAGTGTGGTGGAGGTACGTGAGGCATTACGTAGAATGAAAGGGGGTAAAGCAGCTGGAACTGATGGGATCATGACAGAAATGTTAAGAGCAGGGGGGATATAGTGTTGGAGTGGTTGGTACTTTTGTTTAATAAATGCATGAAAGAGGAGAAGGTACCTAGGGATTGGCGGAGAGCATGTTTAGTCCCTTTATATAAAGGGAAAGGGGACAAAAGAGATTGTAAAAATTATAGAGGAATAAGTTTACTGAGTATACCAGGAAAAGTATACGGTAGGGTTATAATTGAAAGAATTAAGAGGTAAGACAGAATGTAGGATTGCGGATGAGCAAGGAGGCTTCAGAGTCGGTAGGGGATGTGTAGATCAAGTGTTTACATTGATGCATATATGTGAACAGTATTTAGATAAAGGTAGGGAAGTTTTTATTGCATTTATGGATTTAGAAAAGGGATATGATAGAGTGGATAGAGGAGCAATGTGGCAGATATTGCAAGTATATGGAATAGGTGGTAAGTTATTAAATGCTGTAAAGAGCTTTTATGAGGATAGTGAGGCTCAGGTTAGGGTGTGTAGAAGAGAGGGAGACTACTTCCCGGTAAAAGTAGGTCTTAGACAGGGATGTGTAATGTCACCATGGTTGTTTAATATATTTATAGATGGGGTTGTAAAAGAAGTAAATGCTAGGGTGTTCGGGAGAGGGGTGGGATTAAATTATGGGGAATCAAATTCAAAATGGGAATTGACACAGTTACTTTTTGCTGATGATACTGTGCTTATGGGAGATTCTAAAGAAAAATTGCAAAGGTTAGTGGATGAGTTTGAGAATGTGTGTAAAGGTAGAAAGTTGAAAGTGAACATAGAAAAGAGTAAGGTGATGAGGGTATCAAATGATTTAGATAAAGAAAAATTGGATATCAAATTGGGGAGGAGGAGTATGGAAGAAGTGAATGTTTTTAGGTACTTGGGAGTTGACGTGTCGGCGGATGGATTTATGAAGGATGAGGTTAATCATAGAATTGATGAGGGAAAAAAGGTGAGTGGTGCATTGAGGTATATGTGGAGTCAAAAAACGTTATCTATGGAGGCAAAGAAGGGAATGTATGAAAATATAGTAGTACCAACACTCTTATATGGATGTGAAGCTTGGGTGGTAAATGAAGCAGCGAGGAGACGGTTGGAGGCAGTGGAGATGTCCTGTCTAAGGGCAATGTGTGGTGTAAATATTATGCAGAAAATTCGGAGTGTGGAAATCAGGAGAAGGTGTGGAGTTAATAAAAGCATTAGTCGGAGGGCAGAAGAGGGGTTGTTGAGGTGGTATGGTCATTTAGAGAGAATGGATCAAAGTAGAATGACATGGAAAGCATATAAATCTATAGGGGAAGGAAGGAGGGGTAGGGGTCGTCCTCGAAAGGGTTGGAAAGAGGGGGTAAAGGAGGTTTTGTGGGCTAGGGGCTTGGACTTCCAGCAAGCGTGCATGAGCGTATTAGATAGGAGTGAATGGAGGCGAATGATACTTGGGACCTGACGATCTGTTGGAGTGTGAGCAGGGTAATATTTAGTGAAGGGATTCAGGGAAACCGGTTATTTTCATATAGTCGGACTTGAGTCCTGGAAATGGGAAGTACAATGCCTGCACTTTAAAGGAGGGGTTTGGGATATTGGCAGTTTGGAGGGATATGTTGTGTATCTTTATACGTATATGCTTCTGAACTGTTGTATTCTGAGCACCTCTGCAAAAACAGTGATAATGTGTGAGTGTGGTGAAAGTGTTGAATGATGATGAAAGTATTTTCTTTATGGGGATTTTCTTTCTTTTTTGGGTCACCCTGCCTCGGTGGGAGACGGCCGACTTGTTGAAAAAAAAAAATATTAATTTGAACATGATACAGTGAAGTACAAAAGAATACAGTTAAATGCAGCATACCAAAGCCACTTGAATGCAGAGCATTACGGGCAGGCTTAAAATTAACTTAAGATTAACTAAGCAATGATATATTCAGTGGTACAAAATTATTGTAAAACAGATAATAATTTAGTACAAATGAGTATTACAAAGACAGGTCATATGGTCATTTACTGTGTTGCTGTGTAATCAGTAGAATGGAGTATTCTGTTAGGTAATGAAGTTAAATAGTAACAAAGTTTGATTGGGTCACAGGTTGACATTTATGAGATACAATAATGAGATACATATATGGGATACAATTTATGAGATACAATTATTCAGTATTTATTTAGTTGTGGGTGAGTAAGTGATTTTTGAGAAGAGACTTGAATTTATAAACAGACAGTGTTTCTTTTATATTCACAGGTAATGAATTCCAGATTTTAGGGCCTTTTATGTGCATTGAGTTTTTGCATAGCGTGCGATGGACACGAGGAACATCAAAGAGTGACCTGTGTCTTGTGTTATGGTCATGTGTTCTGTTGAGGTTGGTAAGGAGATGTTTGAGGGGAGGGTTTATGTCAGAGTTAAGTGTTCTATGTATGTAATAGGTGCAGTAATAAGTATGGATGTTTTGTATTGTGAGTAGGTTTAGAGTTTTGAATATTGGTGGAGTGTGCTGTCTGTAGTGGGAATTTGTTATCATTCTGACTGTTAATTCTGAACTATTTATATTTCTGTCTCTGCTTAACCTATCCCAGGCTGGAAACGACTATACTGGGGAGTACATTGAGGAGAGCTTCATAGAGCGATCAGTTGTGGAGGTATCTGTGACGGTGCAGGAGAAGCGTGTTCTATTTTGTCCACAACTCACAGAGACACACGACCGCCTCCTCAGCTGCCTGGCAGCCATTATTGAGCACAACCAGCGCATTCCCCGCATTGAAAGACTCCTCTTTCCTGGTATGTTTATGGCCACATTGTCTCGTATGTTGTTAAATCGCGTGACTGTAACGTATGCAGGATCATCCCCGTAAGAAATAAATAAATTTGATTGAAGCTTTTCATGTTCATAACCCATCGTCAGTCAAAAGATAAAAAAGAGCGGGAATTGTACAATGTCCAGTAGTGCAGCCCTGTTACTTAGGTATCTAGTAACTTCTGACATAGTCTACTACACTTCTGTTAATGTGATCATGGCTGTATGTGAGTGCCTCCCTCTCATGGGTTAGTCGGCCTATTGTAACATTTCTCTGTTGTTACCTATGTAAATATAATTCATAAAGTCACGAATGAGGCAGTTTGAATAGCAGGGAATACTGCATCTTGACACCCTCCCTCAGGATACAATAGGTTACCGAGTGTTCATGAAATTCCAAATTTCCTGGTTCATGAAATCTGTATAATTTTCACAAGAAAACTGATGATGATTCAAGCTTTCATTTCTTGGGATACTGGAGAAAGCTTAGTGCCAAATAGGTAAAACTGGTCAATTAGCAAGAACTCATTTAAAGTTAAGTCCTTTCCAAAAATTTCTCTTAAACGTTTAAAGATATATTTTTTCATTTATGTTAATATAAAAATTAATAATTTTATACTAAAAGAACCTTAAAAAACTTACCTAACCATATATTTTAGATAAGTTTACAACAGCTTAATAATAAACAGACACAAAGAAATATGTATATTTTTTTCGTTAGGTTCAGAATGATTTTTGCAAAATTATTCCATACGCAAATTTTCGAGTGCCTTAATCGGCAAGAAGAGCGTTGCTATTTAAGCCAAAATCGCGTCATACCTATTCGGAACGATATATATATATATATATATATATATATATATATATATATTTTATATATATATATATATATATATATATATATATATATATATATATAATATATTTTTCAACAAGTCGGCCGTCTCCCACCGAGGCAGGGTGACCCAAAAAAGAAAGAAAATCCCCAAAAAGAAAATACTTTCATCATCATTCAACACTTTCACCACACTCGCACATTATCACTGTTTTTGCAGAGGTGCTCAGAATACAACAGTCTAGAAGCATACACATATAAAGATACACAACATATCCCTCCAAACTGCCAATATCCCAAACCCCTCCTTTAAAGTGCATGCATTGTACTTCCCATTTCCATTTTTATATATATATATATATATATATATATATATATATATATATATATTTATATATATATATATATATCTTTCTTTCAACACCGGCCGTATCCCACCGAGGCGGGGTGGCCCAAAAGGAAAAATGAAAGTTTCTCCTTTTACATTTAGTAATATATACAGGAGAAGGGGTTACTAGCCCCTTGCTCCCGGCATTTTAGTCGCCTCTTACAACACGCATGGCTTACGGAGGAAGAATTCTGTTCCACTTCCCCATGGAGGTAAGAAGAAATAAACAAGAACAAGAACTAGTACGAAAATAGAAGAAAAACCCAGAGGGGTGTGTGTATATATATGTTTGTACATGTATGTGTAGTGTGACCTAAGTGTAAGTAGAAGTAGCTAGACATACCTGAAATCTTGCGTGTTCATGAGACAGAAAAAAGGACACCAGCAATCCTACCATCATGTAAAACAATCACAGGCTTCGTTTTACACTCACTTGGCAGGACGGTAGTACCTCCCTGGGCGGTTGCTGTTTACCAACCTACTACTATATGTTATACACATACACACACATGGGAAAGTGGAAAAGAATCCTTCATCCGTAACCCATGTGTGTCGTAAGAGGCGACTTAAACACCAGGAGCAAGGGGCTAGTAATACCTTCTCCTTTATAAATACTAAATTTTAAAAGAAGAGAAATTCTGAAAGAGTTTCTTTTCTTTTTCTGGCCACTTTTGGAATGTTTAGATACTGTACTGAGGCTATGCTACGTTGCAGTGAAGAGGCTACATAAAACTCATGGCGAAAGAAGCGTAACGTCAATAATTTAGCCCAGCTTTGCAAAAAATAGTTTGCTATGAGAATGTCGAAACGTCTTGGTGGAGCACTGAGGACTAATCTGGCAACCTAGTACTCAATACGCCTCTAAATGCACAAAAATGTTTTAGATAGATGTTTCCCTGTTAACTCTTTTTAAGGTCTAGTTAACCTGGACCTGTTCTTAGACATATGTATTCCCGTTAACCCACTTTTAACGTCCATTGTGTATCCTCATGCTCTTGCTCTACCATCCACAGGATGGATATGGGGTGCACAATAAGTTGTGCATGTCAGGAGCAAAAATCCAAATCTAGCCTTAGACATGGGATTATGAAAGCTTGTGTGAATTTGGATCGATCCCATTACTCCTTACATAGTAAATGATGTTACCTTAATTTTTAAAATTATGTATCTGTAAGTCAGCTGAAGGCTTCAGTCATATGACTAAAAGCTCCAGCATTTGTTCATTAACAGTGACTGAATTCAGTACCGAAAAGTTGATACTGATAACCTCCCAATGATGTAAAAAGATACCCAGATGGATGTATCTTATTGTAGCCAGCTGGTCCAGTAGCTTACGCACTGGCCTGGAGTTTTACGATTCATTTGCATGGGTTCTAACCCCACCCGTACAGTGGTTGATGAATATTCACTAGTATTGGTTTTGTTTCCTGACGAGTGTTACCTAACCAAAGGTTTTTCGTGGCAGAAATGTCCCGGCGTAGACTGTACCTACACGCTGTGAGTGCCGAGGAGGAAGCAGTGGAGGCGGTGAAGGCGGAAGTGTCAGCACTCTTCAGTGCCAATGCCCCGGGACCCTCCACTTACGTGGCCATCTACCACCAATACACTCACCTCCTTGATGACACCACCTTGAACCTCGTGCAGGATTTCATTGAGAACTGTGGCATCTTGAAGGTGAGTCACTAAAGTGGTGGGACTCCAAGGAACGAGAGAGAGAGAGAGAGAGAGAGAGAGAGAGAGAGAGAGAGAGAGGGGGGGAGATCATAAGTTTCTTTCTCCTATGTGCCTTTTTATTCTTTCTGGCATCAAAATGATTGTACAATGAGGAGGCTACAGATAACGCACGTAATTGCTATCCCAAATTTATTCAACATATGCAACATTCATACCTACTACTGTTTATATCATATGCAAAGGACACTTAATACATTCATTAACCCAGTGCTAAAACTCTTCTTTGAGACCTGCGGTAACATATATAAGAAACTAATATCTTTGATATCTCATGCAAATACGATGTCAAAATATGTGGAATTCTCTACCAGGAGACTTTAAAAGTTCACTATCTGCAAATTGCTTCACAAATATTGTCAAAAACACCTGAATTTGATGTAAATCGAATACTTACGTAAACTTATATCTGATTCTAGAACAAAAAGGCACAATACCGTGACTGGAACAATACACAAATAACTTGCACATAGGAGAGAGAAGCTTACGACGACGTTTCGGTCCAACTTGAACCATTTACAAAGTCACACTAACACGAATGAGTGAGGGAACTAGTATATAAAGGCGAGGGGGTCAGAGAAGGGACCAAGAGAGGAAGAAAAAGATTCCATTCATCATTAACACTCGTACACTTGCTGCCACCACTTTTTTTTTTTTACTCCCCATGAATTATTATATCTGAATTTGGCAATACAGTTTTGTACTGTTCGATCATCAAATAACCGTGTCTGTTTTAATATGCAGAGTTTTGTTTCTTAAAATTATCATTGCATGTAATAATCTTATTATCAGACTATTAAATTATATTAAACTTGCCATTTAAATACCCTGACATCAGCTATATAAATGTACAATGTCCAATAGCTGTGAGTTCAAGTTTTAGTTTACCCGAAATGTTCTTCATGACCACGGGCTTTAATTTTGTAACAGTTATGTATGTTTTGATAACAAAATTGTTCATTTATTTGTGTCCTTTGTTCCTGTTCCCTTTGAGGCAACCACAACAATCGGCTAGCATTAAAATCCTTATTTAATGCTAGGTGAACAGGAGCAGTAAGTCTCTTAACGAGACTTACTCATACGTCTTGCTCCAACACGTCTTGCCCCAGCACGTCTTACCCCAGCACGTCTTGCCCCAGCACGTCTTGCCCCAGCACGTCTTGCCCCATCACGCAGGTTGCTCTCCATGTGCACTTTTTCATGAGTCGTATAATTATTTATCTCTCTCATCCTGAAACGTATATTTCCTAGTGTCAATCGTCTCTTTAAGCACTTAAGGTGCCACAGTGTTATTTACACTCCCCCAACAAAAGCAAGGTGACGAAAAGAAGAAAACTACATTCACAGTTTTTTGCACCTTAGCTACTCTTCATATGTCCCAATGAATTATAATACCACCTGATTTGGCACCTCTGTAGCTTTGGTTAACTGGTTTTTCCTAAATACCTTAACAGATTTTTCCTGTTGAAACTCCAACATCACGTCAAATCCCCCAAAAAACTCTCCTCCACATGTTCAAATGCATTGTAACTACAATTGCACATGATTTCAAATGTGCTAATTAAGCATCAAATAACCACCAGTAATTTTATTTATGCATATACATAAACATGTTTTTGTGGTGCTGTGAAGTTTTTTGTTGGCAGTTTACAGATTTGTTTTCCAGAGTGATTTAAGTAACAACACTGTTAAGCTCCGGCTCGGGTAAGTATGCTCAGTTAACTTTCATCTACACCACAACGGTACAGACATCTGGTCCAGAGCGTGTTAAGACATCAGATCTTTCCTTCAGGTGAATCTGGAGTCTGACGTGCGGAAGGAAATCAATGCTCACAGAACAGCTATGTTGGAGGTGAAACATTAATGTACATACACAAATACTGTAAAAAGAAAAAAAAACACTGGTCAGTGGCACAAATGAATCCACACTACGCAACAGAAGATATGTGCTCTATATTTCGGCCTCAAACTGAAGTACTCTTTAATTTGGTGAAGAAGGTGTTAGTGTGAGGCCCTCTTCATCAAATAACTTACTGAAGATGGCTTTAGTGTAAAGCTCTCTCCATCAGTTAACAAAGTGGAGAGAGCCTCGATGTGAAGCTAACAAATATAATACTCATATTTCTGTTGTTTCATATTCTCTATCCGGGTTCGTTTGTGCCATTAACTTACATTTTGATACCTTATCCACTTGTACATATCTACTGTATATTTACTTATAATATGTTGTGAGCTGTTCCAGCCAGTTGCTCAGTGTTGACAGGAGTAAAATGCTTCTTTTATCTGAGTCTCATGGTAGCCTTGTGTTCTATGTTGCAACAAGGGCCTTCAAGCGACATGAAAGCCATGTTGTGATTGGTACACACGTGTTGTTATTAATGCACGCGTGTTATAATTGGTACATAATACAGCCTGACCTAACTGAAAAGTTTGTTGCATTTTATTTATCACCATGTACGTCAAAATTCTCGGTGTTTTGCACGCCCAGATGAACACTTCCATGATGTGACGGGCAGCTTGTGAAGTGTTCTAAATAACTGACGCCTTGTTTCATACTCCTGTGGACATGTTTACCTCAGAAGGCTACGGAAGGAGAGTGTGTCATAGCTTCCCTGGACTTAACATGGGCAGGAAGTGAACAAATGTTATGTGCTTTTCTTTAATGTACACTAGTGCTATGGGGCACGGAACGCCGGAAAACAAACGGTTAGGCAGGTGCCGTAGTTCATGGTTTAGTGAGCGTCCTTGAGCTTGTAGCTTGTATGGTGGTTGTAGTGGTGGTGCATCTCTAGACCCATCTACGCTTACTAGCTCATGAACAAAAATTTTTTTCGTGTGTGCAGTATTTTGCATAGACTGTGTATATTGCTAGTAGTGTATATTAGTACATACATATATTTTAAGGTGTATTTCGAGGGAATCTGTTTTTTGGGTAGTAATTGATTGTGTACAGAACCCGAGGAGCAGGGATGTACACTACAAGGTTTGATGTGTATTTAGAATTAAAAATGTTACTATGTCGATGTTTACGCGGTCAACATGACAATCCGCATTTGCTTATTAAACCTTAATTTTCTCAATACCTTTATAACTAAAATGCATGTTTTACATAGTCTACAGAAGCATATATATATATATATATATATATATATATATATATATATATATATATATATATATATATATATATATATGATGTATGTATATAAAGTAGCTCTAATAACAGATATTCTGCAAATCGTTCGTTATAAAAATTAAAATAATTACATTAGTGCTATCATTTCCACCATGTCTGCTTCCCTGAGGATGTTCCCTTTACAACATCAGTCCATTGTTTGTTCCGTAGACTTTGCCTTCCCTTTTTCTCAATATTTTCAGCATAGCGAGAGCGTCCTCAGCATTTAGTAATAACTAAAGTTAACCACTAATACTGCCTGTTGACGTGGGGAGATTGACTCGTATTTGCTGTGTCCCTGGAATCAGTCATGGTGATTTAATTAATGTAACGTATGTTGCTACTGATTAACAAATTACTTAAATAATAACCTAAATAGAAGAAATATAATTAAATATGTATATTTAAATATAAATGATAATTGACATATTATTAATATAATCGTACCACGAACAGTACGAAGCATGTGAGTACTCTGAGTGTGACTTGCTGTGATGCGATGAGTGTAGGGCACTACAGCTGCGTGTTTATGGTGTTTCACAGGAGGGGAAGAAGCTGCTGGCGTCGCTGCAACTGGTTAGTGGCCAGGTGGTACAGCTTAGAGACTACGTGCCCTTAGGACTCATCCTGCTTAACTGTAAAGACATCAATCATCGTCTCCAGCAGCAGGTGACACACCACAGTCCTCGTCCCTCACACACATTACTACTGACCTTTGATATACTCCTAGTTACACCATCATAACCATACGATTATTTTATATTCACCTCACATCAACCGAATTTATATACTACAACTATTCAAGATTAACACACACACACACACACACACACACATATATATATATATATATATATATATATATATATATATATATATATATATATATATATATATATATATATATATATATATATATATATATATATATATATACTTAAGAATTCGCAAACGGGTGAACTTTTAACAAACATTATCACTCAGTCCACAACATATTTCAGATCAACTGTGTTATGTGTACCAACATTCTTTCCTCCTTGAAGTGGGTGTAAGTCTTAGGAGTGATTTTTTATTATCATTTGTTTTAATCTGCCATATCACTTCAAGGAAGGTGCCTTGATGCCAGTGAAGGACTCTTGTTCCAAGGAACTGGACTCGTCCCTACCTTCCTTGGATCAAGCATAAATGCCTCTCATTCCCCAGGCGTTCTTTGGGCCTCACGGGAGTAGTGCTTCCCCATGAATACAATAATAATAATAATTATAATAAAAATAATAATAATAATAATAATAATAATAATACCGCTACTGCTACTACTACTAATACTACTACTACTACTACTACTACTATTAATATATAATACTAATATAGAATTTGACTCACCAAATCGTAATGACACGATTGCAAACAAACCATACCACGGGTGAGGTTAGAACCCGCGATCAGAGAGTCTCAAAACTCCAGACTGTCGCATTAGCCACTGGACCAGCTGGCTTCAATAAGACTCATCCAACTAGGTATATTATATGGAATTTGTGTTACAGGTGAAGGAGCTGACAGCAGCTATCCTGGAGTACTTCGTGGTACGCAACAAGGAACATGACAAGGAGTAAGTCTCAATATCCTAATCTTAAACTCTGCCTCTCTCCGATTCTATTTTATTTACTGTAGCATAATTATACACACCCAGCATGTGGCTACCCAGTGTGTGGCTACCCAGTGTGTGGCTACCCAGTGTGTGGCTACCCAGCGTGTGGCTACCCGCTGTGTGGCTACCCAGTGTGTGGCTACCCAGTGTGTGGTTACCCAGTATGTGGCTACCCAGTGTGTGACTACCCAGTGTGTGGCTACCCAGTGTGTGGCTACCAAGTGTGTGGCTACCCAGTGTGTGGCTACTCAGTGTGTGGCTACCCTGTGTGTGGCTACCCTGTGTGTGTGGCTACCCAGTATGTGACTACCCAGTGTGTGGCTACCCAGTGTGTGACTACCCTGTGTGTGGCCACCCAGTGTGTGGCTACCCAGTGTTTGGCTACCCAGTGTGTGGCTACCTTGTGTGTGGCTACCCAGTGTGTGGCTACCCTGTGTGTGGCTACCCTGTGTGTGTGGCTACCCAGTATGTGACTACCCAGTGTATGGCTACCCAGTGTGTGGCTACCCTGTGTGTGGCCACCCAGTGTGTGGCTACCCAGTGTGTGGCTACCCAGTGTTTGGCTACCCAGTGTGTGGCTACCCTGTGGATGATACACGACAACCGTATTGACGTGATACACCACAACTGTACTGACGTGGTATACAACCATACTGACGTAATACATCACAACCAACTGTTGTGATACATCACAACCATACTGACGTGATACACCACAACTATACTGACGTGAAACACCACAACCGTACTGACGTGATACACCACAACTGTACTGACGTGGTATACAACCATACTGACGTAATACATCACAACCAACTGTTGTGATACATCACAACCATACTGACGTGATACACCACAACTATACTGACGTGATACACCACAACTGTACTGACGTGATACACCACAACCGTACTGACGTGATACACCACAACCGTACTGACGTGATGCACCACAACTATACTGACGTGATACACCACAACCGTACTGACGTGATACACCACAACTGTACTGACGTGATACACCACAACCGTACTGACGTGATACACCACAACCGTACTGCCGTGATGCACCACAACTGTACTGATGTGATACACCACAACCGTATTGACGTGATACACCACAACCATACTGACGTGATGCACCATAACTGTACTGACGTGATGCACCACAACTGTACTGACGTGATGCACCACAACTGTACTGACGTGATGCACCACAACTGTACTGACGTGATGCACCACAACTATACTGACGTGATGCACCACAACTGTACTGACGTGATGCACCACAACTGTACTGACGTGATACACCACAACTGTACTGACGTGATGCACCACAACCGTACTGACGTGATGCACCACAACTGTACTGACGTGATGCACCACAACCGTACTGACGTGATGCACCACAACTGTACTGACGTGATACACCACACCTATACTGACGTGATACACCACAACTGTACTGACGTGATGCACCACAACTGTACTGACGTGATGCACCACAACCGTACTGACGTGATACACCACACCTATACTGACGTGATACACCACAACCGTACTGACGTGATACACCACACCTATACTGACGTGATACACCACAACTGTACTGACGTGATGCACCACAACTGTACTGACGTGATACACCACACCTATACTGACGTGATACACCACAACTGTACTGACGTGATGCACCACAACCGTACTGACGTGATGCACCACAACTGTACTGACGTGATACACCACAACTATACTGACGTGATACACCACAACCGTACTGACGTGATACACCACAACTGTACTGACGTGATGCACCACAACTGTACTGACGTGATACACCACAACTGTACTGACGTGATGCACCACAACCGTACTGACGTGATGCACCACAACTGTACTGACGTGATGCACCACAACTGTACTGACGTGATGCACCACAACTGTACTGACGTGATGCACCACAACTGTACTGACGTGATGCACCACAACTTTCAAACCTATGATTGTTTGTAACCTTTTGCTTTATCGTTGTTACGCCCTTTGCTCATTTTAAGAAATAGATGATATATTTATACGTGTTATTTTGGCTTTTCACTTAATATTATATTAAGGAGTATCTTCATTAACAACTAAAATGAATTTACACAGCTTTATAATATTATCTGGCCATAAATATATGTAGCTTTGTATGTAGGTAGGATGTTTCAATGTTTTAAACTACTAGTGTGATGAGGTGAAACACCAGGTGACAGTTCGAGTTACTCAACCCCTACTCAGACCGAGCTAAGGTCTGGTGTTAAAACCTTACCTAGAGTATTTCACACCTTCCACTTGTCGAGGGAAGATCTGGTGGAGAATCTGGCTTTAAGTCACATAAGAACATAACAAAGAAGGAACACTGCAGCAGGCACGCTACACTTCCCCAGAAGTTATCAGGAATTTTGGAAGCCCTTTGCTATGGTATATCTCGGTCTGAGAAGGTAGTTGAAAAACTCTTGAGGAAAATAGGATTAAGTGAACGAGTCTAAGCGTTACGCCGTTTATAGACTGATATAGAAAAGGATTATTATAGGATGGTCCCAGAGGAAAAACTCTAGTTATTTGCATCATTGTGGCGTTTAAGTTTGTAAAACGCCTGTGTATGTACACATTTATCTTTTGACTCATTGTGATTGAGTCTAGAAACTCTGTCTAGAGCTGGTTGTAAATATTTAACGTATTACAGTGATGTTATAATAAGGCTAATGGTATATGTTTTTACTCAGAGTGACTACGATATGAGAAGTTCTGTTTTAAAAGATTGAATTATTTAATTCATGATAGAAACCGTAAGTGATTATTAGTGTAGTTAATAAAACAAGCAGTAACTGTGAAGATTCCTTTTCCTCAATAAGTGAACCCTGTCTATGATTATCTCTAGACGAGATAATTCTGTTCTTTTCATATGAGTTTGTTTCGTGAGGCATTATAGTAAAGTAGTCTACAGGTCCTGTTCGTAACCATCATTCTCTAGTTCATTCCACTTCTCTACTGCCATGTCAATGAATGAATATTTCCTGAAGTCTCCTTGACCCATCTACATTCTCAGCTTCCACAGGTATCCCATCGCCCCGATTCTGCACAGTATGTATAATGTGTGTCGACGTTGTTTATGTCGGAGTATTTTGCATTCATCATGTCTCCTCTTCGCATACGCTCATCAAGGAACATAGAATTAAACCCAGTGTGACACGTAGCTGTCATACAACACCTGAGGAGTGGAAGATGATTATAACTGGTCTAAGGAAAGAGCAGTTCCAGTTCCCTGACTCAAGAGCCCTTTACCAACAGGGTCTGGTAAAAAAACAGGGAGAACTTCGAATTGTTTAGATCGAATTACATTTAGCAATTATTTAATAATCATATTTTGGGAGACGAATGGTTTTCCAGTTGAAATTTTGTAGAACTTGAAATCAAACGACTTCGAAATTGTGAAAGTGAATGATTGATGATGCACTGTTGCTGACAGTGTGTGTCGATCATTTGACGAGATGTCGACGAAGTTGAGTCAAGTGACTGACGTGACTGCAGAGATCGTGGAGCTGAGCAACTACCTGCACATCTGCTCCTCCCAGACCATGACACAGCTGCTGCAGGAGATACAGAACGCTACTGACCGTCTCATGTTCCTGCTGCAGGTAGGTCGCCTCTGTTTGTCCTCCAGCTTCGTAGCTATAATAACATCGATAAATACATGCAATGTGTTGCCAGGTGTATTGGGGTTGGCGGGAGGGAACCATCACTTCAGATGCCAACCTAGTCATGAATATCATCGCAGGGGGTAGAACCCGGTTCAAGCCGTGTCTGTAAGCATACATGCATTTTCAAGTTTATTCCTTACATCGAGAGGTGTACAGTATTTTTCTCACTGCATTCACAATTAGTTTAATTTAATTCCTCATTTTTCAGGGACTGATTAAAGTATTCTTGACTAATGGTGTGCAGGTTAAATGTTTCCCTAATAATCATCGTGTAGTCTAAGGGTTTTATCCCAGTTTGCCAACCAATCAACTCAATCAGGCACAAAAAAGTATATATAGGTCCAATTATGTAACTTGTTGCCATTGTAGGTGAGAGAAACTCTAATTGTAACTCCTGTTGTTATGTGTGACAGTTCGGGCGGGTGCCAGAGGACCAAGTTCCACTTATCAACAGAATGTACGCCTGGCCACACAAGATCCAGGAAGACTTCCGTCTCGCCGAGACGCGACTCTCACACAAGCGCGACTTGAAGGAGACAGCACTCAAGGCTCGCGTCGCCAACTTTGAGAAGACGTGAGTGTTACTAAAGTGAATCCTGGTGGTGCTGTACAGTGATGGAACTTCCAGAAGGGAGAGTGTGCCTTGATGCTGGTAAAGAGCTCTTGTTCAACATCTGGGTATCTTGATTTGTAGACGTCTTGCCAACACGCGCAACATTTGTGTAATTCCTCATCTTGTTGGTATTGTATACCCTTGGACAAAGTAATAATGTACTGTGACGGAAAGTAGATTTGTTTGCTGTTATCTCACGCTAGGTTTCTCCTTGAATTTTTATTTGTTCTGCAGGTACAGATGTTGATATAAATACTAAACACCCCCAGCTGCAGGAAAACACATGCAAACATATGCTCATATACTTAATTTTGTATATTTTTGTATTTTTAGTTCAAACATTTCCGTGATCACTTTTGTACAATAAGATGTTGGTTATTAGCTGCGAACTTTCCTATAGCAGTAGTGACTTGTCTTCAGCTACTGAAGAAAGTTTGGATCTTTAGCCTTATTGTGAAATAATATTTCTCTCTCTCAATCTCTCTCTCTTTCTCTCTCCACACACACACACACACACACACACACACCACACACACACACACACACCACAGGCTACAAGTATACAACAAGGAACTAGAAGATCTTCGGGGTCGTGACAACTTTATTATGAAGGAGATTCGTGTTGACACCATGAAGAGGAACGTGGAGATGCTGGAGCGTCTCACCACTCAGTTCCAGGAAGCCAGAGCTGAGCTGCAGGTAGGTTGTGTGCTCACCTATAAGTGGTTTTTAGCTCCTGGCCCCACCTCTCAACTTGCCGCTTGCCAGAGTCACTCTCTCCCAGCCTCGTGGGCCCTGTAGTGCATGTTATTAAAACTATGTATGGAATCTGCCCCCACCACTTCTTCATCGAGGTCATTCCACGTCTACACCACCCTGAGACTGAAGAAATACTTCCTGACATCCCTGTAACTCATCTATAGCCTCAAACTGTACCTATGTATGAAGTGGGATGTTAGTATGATGTGGGACGTTTGTATGAGATGGCTTTTGTGTGTGAGATGGGTTGTGTTGTGGGTGTACAATAACACACATGAAAGTACACAAACAGCTTCAAAAGAGTTTTTAAGAGATATATGACCTATAATAACTCGTTTATTGAAATAAAACTTACATAAGCTTTTATAAATTTCTCAGTTACAAATATATACTGTATGATAGGCTACTATAAGTAGGTTCCATTAGTTTTAAATAAACTGGAAGACCAGATTAAAGAAAATAAAGAACTACCTGGATACAAAATAATCAAGAGAGTTTGATCCCAAGGAAAATTCCTTATTTGTAATGCGAAATAGTAATAAAATAGTGTCTTAGCCCTATAAAAAACTGATACTATTCTTATTAGAAACTCCTAAAAGTATGATGGGAAATTGGGGATGTGTGGTGCACCCTTGCCTATTTTTTTTCAGAATTTTGAGAATAAAATCTCATTTTTTATAAATCCTCCCAATGGAGGACAATGTTCTCCATTGCATGTATTTTTTTTTACGCATATCAATTATACAGGTTAAGAGCTGTTATTTTACCTCGTCTTATTTCAAAACCCAGCCCTATCTAAGGTATACTACCGTCCCTCAGGATGCCACCCACAACAGTCAACTAGCACCCAGGTACCTACTTACTACTAGGCGAACAGGGACAGCAGGTGTAAGGTAACATGCCAATCGTTTCCACCCGTACCAGGGATCCAACCACGGACACTCACTGAGTGACCCGAGTGCGTTGTCAACGGAGCTACGGTGCCCTAACTTGGCGTAAGCCTCAAAGAAATCCCCGTAACGGGAACATCTATGTACTCTATAATGTAGTTACTGTGAGCTAAAGATTTTATTTCTTTAGGCCATCAACGAGGAACAAAGTCTGCTGAGCTGGGAGATGACCAAATTCCCGCTCTTGCAGTCCATGATCTCTCTGAAGGAACCTTACGACAAGCTGTGGCACACCACTTACGATTTCCACCAGAAGTACGAGCGGTGGTTCAATGGTAAGTCTTTCAACACCCGGATATTTGTGCTCTTTGGAAGAATCATACTCTCTGTTTGGATATTTGTGGTCCTTGAGAGAGATAGATATATAGAGAGGTAACAGCTCTTAGCTTGCAAATAAAGACAGGAACTCTTAACCTAACCTTGTAAAACCCTTCTCAAGAGAGTACTACCCTCTGCCTCTATACCTCCTGGATGTTTGTGATTCTTTAGAGAAAGTGTGGCCCCTTGAAAGAGTTCTACCCCTTTTACACTTACTCGATATGAGTCGTCAGTTGCAGTCAATACCACTTTCAGTAAGTAACGTGAATTATTTCTAGGTCTCCTTACTCTTATTTTTGTAGTTTAAAATCTACTTTATAACTAATACTTAATAGATAGCTACATTTTTTTCGACTTCACGCTAAGCCTCTCTTCAGGTAATTAAAAAAATGGGGTTGAAGGAATTAAGACTTTTATGTTACATTGACTTCAGGGTCTCGGAAAAAACTTTTAACGGGTTTTCGTTTCGCACTCATACAATTGTACAGTGGTACCCCCATGGATTGTTGATTATAATCACCCGAACCACTGTTTTATTCCCCTAGGTTTATGAGGTTTCATTATATAATAATCATGAAGCCTATTTTACATTTTTCAGTTTCCTGAACATGGTCCTTAGACTCCTTACCTACGAGTGAGTCCATCACATTGTCACTCCATTATCTTAATACACCCTCCTCGTTAACCATTGTTACTGACCATCCTCGCTAACCTTCCTCACTATCCGTCCTCACTAAATATTCTTGCTAACCTTCCTCACAAGCTAATCTCGCTAGCCATCTTCACTAACCCTCCTCACTAACCTTCTTTACTATCCTACCTCGCCTGTTTCCACACCAGGTCCCTTCATCGGACTGGACGCAGAAGCCATTAGCGAGGAGGTGGAGGCCATGTGGAAGACTATGTATAAGCTCACCAAGACCTTCTTGGACCAGGTTTGTATTCACACTCCTTTAAAGCTCTTAACAATGTGAGTGAAGCTCATGTTCATCCCATAACCTGGCACGGAGTATGCTGTCGTTTGATTGCGTGCGGCCAGCAGTAACATCATGGTCGATCAGGCCCTGATCCAGTGCGAGGCCTGGTCATGGACCGGGCCGCGAGAACGTTGACCCCCGTAATACCCTTCAGGTAGATTCCCCCTCCAGGTATGGACTTTCAAATTATTGTGTATATTTATACACTAATTTAAAAGTCATTACCATTAAGGTTGTTGCGTCTGGAAGTAAATTGCCTCATTATCTTGGTATTATGTATTCCCTTCCAGCTTGTTTTCCGGTTTGCCGTGTACTGAATATTCAGACCGATTGGTGTGTATTTCAGTGTATACATACCAAAAGATACATACCTTAATGTATATAAATTGAAATTAGTCACATTAAATAGACAGAAAGCACAGTTCAAGTAGCCATGACGTCTATGCCACCAAGAAAATTAAACAAAAAGAGTTATAATTCAAAGCCTAAGTAAAAATGTATTTACATGCTTACTTATCTCTGTCTATACAGAGTGGTGTGTGTCTCGGTGTATATACTGTTAACCATGAGGTTAGTATCTCTGTGCATCAATTCAATTCTTTAATCAGAAGTTTGGTAAGGTTTGGAAGGAAGAAGGATGGGTAAGAATGGAATGTGGAGGAGGGTAGGTGGGGGTAAGGAGACGGGGGATAATAAAGGTAAGTGGACCCAACCACTATATCGCATATTAATGTAGGTTTGTGTGTGTGTTGTGTTAAGCATAGTAATCAGATGATCGTGTATACCACACTACCCATAAGAGACACACTTGTATACGAGATGCATACGTGCAGGGAAGCGCATTGGTGATACGTATGTTTGTAATTGCCTTTTTTTTTCGCAGGAGGCAAGTTGCTCGGGCTAGTTGTAAAGTGTTTGCTGGAGCTGGTGGTCGGCTGATCTGAATCTGGGGCGGTGTCCTGCTAATGGCGGTTTTTCAGTTGCTACTTGGTTAGATGTTAGGTATCCAAAGTAAGGACTGTTTTATGTCTTAAACGTAGATTGGCTCTGGTGGTACCGATTCTTCTGTATCTTCAGGTATATCACTCTGAATCTTTGGTCTTGGGAAGTCCTCCTTGTGTATGAAACGTTGGACGTTTTATTGGAGGGACATCCTATGGGGAGGTGTATTGATGTAGTCAGTTCTTAGTTGGCTGGGGTGGGTTTTCTGTCTGGTATATAGTTCTTGCATGGTATATAGTTGTTGCTTCTTTGTCTAGCCTGACATTTATTGCGTCGATCTCCTGCTGGATGTGCAGATCTTCCATTCTTTTTCTGTCCCTTAGTTTGGTGCCTGTGATAAAGCGGAGGGCCATGCTCTGGACTCTTTGCTGATAATGCTGATGAGGACCTTGTCAGGATTGGTCGTGATTCTCCATTTCTTCTCCAGGTTGCCTGTTCGCAATTCCGTATTCATTTTATCTCTCACCCTCTCATGCCTGTTGTTTCTCTATGCAGGAGTAGATGATACTACATGGATAACATCGTCAGCAAATTGGATAATGATAGTGTCATTGTATTCTGGTTGGGGAAAGTCATTTACACTATGCTGAATAGAATAGAGCTCAAGCACGATCCCTGTGGCTCTGCCGTCTTGCAATTGAAGGTGGGGATGATGCTTCTTCTTGTTCAGAAGTTATACATAAGTCTGAGAAAGGTCCAGTTATGATCCGGGAGGTCAACAAGTTTGAATATAAGGCCGTCGTGCCACAGGCTGTCAAAAACTTTGTGTACATCCCGAGTCGCAGTCAGGGCAAGAGTTCCCCGTTTCCGCAGGCTGTCCACTACATCGAAGACGATATTGATGGAGTGTTGGTTTCCTCGGTGGGTGCGAAAACCAAACTGTTTCAGTGAAGAGTGATTGAACTCCCACTGGCAGTGGCCATTGTTGAATCTTCTGCTATCATTGTGTCAGAGATTTTTCTCCCATATTTCTCCCATCAAATTGGCTTGATCTTGCGGGTCATTCAGGTTGATAGATACTGTTCATTGTCATCGTCAGTGAAGAGGTAGGTACTGCGTAGGCCTGGTCTTTGCCTCAGGAGCTAGGGAATCTTACTCCAGAACTGTTCAGGACGGTGTTTGTATTGGTTGGCCTGTAGGACATGATATAAAATATCTCGCTTTTGTGCTGGGTGATTAGACTGATTAAATCCTGCTTCATCCCTTGCAGAATTGCACGTGTGGATTGGCCTGTTTGGTTGTGCCTACTACACTCTGCTTGGTGATTTTCCATGCTATCCTTAATTTCCCTGGTTAGTTTGTACTGTTGGTATATCTTGGGTGATGTTAGTTCACAGCGTGCTCGAGTAGCATCTGAGATTCTATCGTGAAGGGAGCTGATTGCCTCGCCTATTGCATTTGAGGGCTGGTTCTCGAGGAAAAAGGTCATTACCTAGGTAGACGCTGAAAGGGGCAAAACCTATGGGTTTTAGGTTTGGGTTTGGTGGAAGTGTCCGAAATGGCGAGGAATGAAGCTCCATTATGGCAGGAATGTGGTCCGATCCAACATTTCCTCCAGAGGAAACTCTACAATGAAACAGGTCGCAGTCCCTGTTGGTTAGGACTACAACGGGTGTCGCCGGACGAGGACCTACAAATGACTTCAAGAATGGGCCTTGGAATGACAGATTTCTTGCTGACATGAGATTGAACAGCTACTTTCCCTTATGATCACCTTGTGGCTGGCCGGCGCCGCAGTTGAACGAGCGGGGTGATGGACATCGAAATCCCCTGCAAGGACTGTGGGAACATTTCTACTGAGTATTTGATGTAGAGGGACGGACTCTATGTACGGCTGTCTAGAAGGGAAATATCCAGTTCCTACTATTAGCCACCCATAGGAGGTCGTCAGTTCTATTGGTAAGTTGATGTTTTCATCAACGTGTATATTAAGTAATGCGTAGCCTCCTTTCACTAGGACAGCCACCCCACTGTGGGGCCTTCCTCTAGATTTGTCGAGTGTTGAATAACCTCAGATCTGGCAGCTGTCTCATTTGAAAGGATGATGTTCGGGTTGTGATTGCAGAGTTCAACTTCTAGGAGGCAGCGGTTATTGAAAAAGTCTTGGATGCTGAGTTGTAAAATTGTGATCCACATTATTTCTTGTTTTGCGTTGTTAAGGCGTGTAGGTTGTTGGTGTCTGAGATTATAATTATACGCTACGTGCGTGCTTTCCCTACTGGACTCATCAAAGAGGAGGCAATAGTCCTGTGTAGGCACATGCATGACCCTGTCAGTCGGTGACAATGGGGCCTGGTTACAGATGGATACAAGAGAGATGATCTCATTGCACGGTTTCTTCTCCATTCTAGGCAGAATTGGAACCTGACTGATCAGTTGTGGCAACTTTCACAGTGGCGATTACCGCAGCAGAGTCTGGAGCAGGTGTAGGGACCGTCGCTTTCCTTGGTGGCCTATGTCACTGTTTCAACCGAACCCTCCTCCACAGGTGAGCCTTGGTGGGTTGACATGGAGTAGGTGCTGGGAGGTCATTCTCCTTGCCCTGAGGGGAATTACTCGCTAATGCTCGCGCACTTCCTGGAACGATAATGGATGTGAAGTGATTCGCCACTAGCAGCCTGTTGAGAGTGGTCATGTAAAAATGGTGGTCGTTACCTGCAATTTTTTCAGCCATCAAAATCATCATGGACGTCTTCATCTGGCATTCTGAAGAGGATCACAGGGTCATAGAGGAGAAAGATCGTCCTTGTTCCTGGTGGGTTTTGGGGTTGGGATGGGGGAGTGAGAAGGGGGGGAAGTCAGGTAAACTCAGGAGTCAGGGAACATTGTGGGTGGTGCTTCGGAAGCGGTTTCTTGACGTCCAACTGTTTCTTTGCGTAAAGCAGTTGCTGGAATGCAACTTTCCTTTTTTGGGCAGATTTGGGAAACAGGATGGTGTTTCTGTTTGCATAGGATGCACTTTGGGTTGTCCCTGTTAGTGCATTCCTTATATCCATGGTCACCAGTGCAGATACTGCTAACTCTGAGTTGATTTTCATTGGGGCAGTTTTTTTTTATGGTTAAATCCATAGAACTTATAGCATTGCTTGATATTGAAATATCTTTCCTTGGAGATTTGATCTGGTCCCAAGGCACTTCAGACCATTCTCCTGGAGTCTACCTGGAGGGTATTCCGGGGATCACCGCCCCTGCGGCCCGGTCCATGACCAGGCCTCCTGGTGGATCAAGGCCTGATCAACGAGGCTGTTACTGCTGGCCGCACGTAGTCCATCGTACGGACCATAGCTCGGTTGATCCGACACTGACTTTAGGTATCTGTCCAGCTCCCTCTTGAAGACAACCAGGGGTCACTGATTGTGTTTACGTCTTCCGGTGACTCAATGAATTAGCCTCAGGAATGACTGGTTACTTCCATTTTTAGTGAATTTATAAGCCTTTAAAACACTGAAACCTTGTTCTTTGCTACTGATTTCGCCAACGAGTTTTTGTGCACTTAATCATGCATAATGCTGTTGATTCTAGCAAAAAAATGCTGACTCTGGAGGGATGGGAGTGAAGCTCTCCTTGATTACTTTGTCACTTGTATATATTTTATGTAATTGTAGGAGCTCCTTTGAAGAGAGACGTAGTACTACACCAGAGTGGGTTTATATTTTCACTTGTGCAACTGTGGCATTTATGGTAATGCACTGTAAAATTTGCATCTTAATTTTCTGGTCGCCATTGACCCGAAGTCTGACACTTATATTGGCATGATGCCCAGTTAAAGTAAGCTGCTGACTCAGTTAAGTTACTGAAAGAGAGAGCTTTCCTTGGAATCCTGCATCCCTATTGCAGCTGACTTATGAAGGACAGCAACTAACGTAGACTTACCCTCGAGGGAATGAAAGGGAGGGGACCAAGTAGCAAGTGGACTGAGAGGACCGGGGCCTTGGGCCCCGTACCTCTCAGTCTAC